ACAAAAATACAATTTAAGTTTAATCAGGCCCATTTTATCTGTAAAAACTAAATAAAGTCTTTAATTTAAAACAGGACAGTAGTAGTCAGTCACTTTACCGACACTGTCAGCGTAGCTTATGTTTCTGGTACCCGTGCAAAACATGTTCTAGCCTCCTGATGTTTTTAGCTTCAATTCAAAAAGGAAATACAAGAACAGTATCAGGCTTTTTATTATTTTCTCATTATGTATATCCTCCAAAAACTCATACTACCTCTTTTAGCTGCTGCTGCTGGAAACATCAGCGCCCTTTATACCAGTTGCATTAATTTCATCAAATTCTAAAATGCTTTCTCGTAACTCCCTCACAGAAAATAATTGTTTAATTTACAGTCTGGTGAGTTACACAATGAGCGATGGGAGGAGAATGGAGAAGTAATGAAATATGCAGAAAAGAGAAGCTCAGGGATCGTTCACCATGTGCATTTCCCTCCATGCCTCCCTCTCTCTCTAGCTCGCTGTGACTCTGCGGTTTGTGTGGTTTGCTGAAGAAATCTTTTGAAAAAAGCTGCTCAAAGACGTTTCGGATAAAAGTGCTGATGCTTATCACTATTTGCTGTTCCTTAATTTTTTCCCTCCAAGCTATGATGTTTATGATTGATAAAGCTTTCAAAAATGGTAAATTGATTTGCCTCCTCCTGTTAGGTTAATAGGCCTCGCTTTTATACCCTCAACAGGAACACTCAGAAGCATAGCTTGACTTTTAGTGTTTTCCTCCACTGGCTAAAATCACAAGACACCCAGTTCAATGACAAATCGCTGCTCACTGGTCGCTCCTCTTCCCAGCAGACAAATGGGAGACGGAGAAACAGACACAGGAATAAAAAAGGAAAGGAAGGGTGATGAGACAGTGAGCAACAGAGGAACACATTTGGCGGTCCACATAAAAGCAGGAGGTGCACTGCGCTTTCATGATGATATTTCACCCAGAACAAACAAGATGAGCCTCACTGAGAGAAGAAAGCATCGATCTACTCGGCACCAATCATAATACATCTACTTTTCCCCCCAAGTTTATTTTTTGGCTTTCTATCAGGACTCTAAATTATTTGGGGTGATAAATTGATCCGCCGCTTTGACTCTCTCTCACTCGGCGGAGAGAAGGGAAACTTGATGGTTCGAGTGTGCGTGAGTATTTGTGGCGTCTGCTTCGCAGGCATCATCTGCCATCTGGCCTCAAAGTACAGAGGCCACATGGTGGGAAAGCAAATGTCACCGGTCAGGCCAGCCAATGCCAAGTCCAGACAAATGACGTCAGGAGAGGCCCACACTGCACTGCCCAAACAAACAGCCCTGCCACAGAGCCTGATCCCTTCGTGACCCTTCCCTTATTCTGCGGCCGGTTGCTTGTAATAATGGCAGCAATAATCTGGGAATTATAGCTTATACTAGAGTGGCACACCACGATGGCACTGCTAGCAATGAGCTGAATTTCTAAAAAAAACAAGAAAAATATGTCTTTCGGGCGCGTGGAGAATTTTAGACTGCAGAGTTGCAATCAGATTATCTAAAGAGACAACAGAAAACAGATCCAAAATCCAGATTGAATAACTACTGTATGCTTGTGCCAACAGTATTAAAGTCAGAAACATTTAAGTATCAGTCCATTGAAATGGCCATGAAATTCTCATGATGATGTATCTAACATCTGCCCAAAGAAAAATTATTTCAAAGCAGATTATATCATCATTTTTCCTAATATCTTGGTCGCCATCCCTGGTGTGCCAACATCAACTCCGAATGTGCCGGTTGATATATTATCTCATTCTTAACAGAACTCCATTACTAATTTCTGTATTTATCTCAGTCATTACTTTGTGGCACAGAAACAGCTGAAGCAGAGAGCTTTCATCACTTGTCACGTGTGGAAAAAAGCATTATTCCATCTTGTGGCTGCTGCTACAGAGACAGTGTGAATCTGTTTAAAGCCTTTCTTTCAGACGCTTACCGTATATAGCATCTGCTCTGCACCTCTGCCTTACACAATGATTTCAGCAGATGTAAATGATGCAAAGTCCCTGCACTGAATTACTCTTCCTGCAATGGCTTGGTAGTTTGGCGCCATGCTGCCTTTAGCTTTTAATTACACACTGTGCAATAAACACACGCCCTGGATTTTTTTTCTTCTGCACTGCAGCAAGTCCAAAGGAAATAAAACATACAAATAAGGGACAGTTCACTTTGGTTTAATGGTTGATGCCGGAGATTTCCAAGCACCTGTGCCCTTGTGCAGTCGGAGCTCAGGGACTCGCTGCATATTGCGCAGTGTACATCTCAAAAGCCGGAATGCTGCAGTGTATGTGCTATAGGCACAAACACTCAGTGACAGACTCCTCCTTTTCCATTCCCCACTTCTTCACCAGATGACAAGAGATAGTTTCCCTTTCGAATATAGACAAAGACAATTAAAAAAGTGCTAGTGGGTGGAGCACTTGTGCCCGTCTCATTCTGTCCCTCCGGAAAAAAAAGAAGAAAAATGTGCGTCAAAGATAGACTGGTTCTAGAGACACATTTAAACAGTGCAATTTAGGTTCCTGCGCCTCTATAATTGTGACATTTCTGTTTACTTTAACATAGCAGACTATCTTAAGTGCCAGAGAATATCTGAATCATGAAAACGGTGATGTTTTTAAAGGTAAAAAGAAGGTTCTAATTGTTTTGTGATACATTCCAATATGCACTGCTGGAAAACTTCACACCAGCAGTAGTTAAACATCAGCTTCAGTCCAAACTGGAATTAAACTAGTCACACAGTTTGCAAATGTTAGCTTCCCAGTCCTGAGCAACTGCCTCCCCCTGCAGCACAAAGCCCCCACATAAACAGTTTTACACATGAGCGCGTGTGTGTACACACTCACTCGTATACATGCATACGAAACACACCAGCTGCCGTGTGCAATAAAGAACCATGAAGACCTTCTCTATTTTACACATCCGCAGGGGGTCAATAACTCATTAGAGCCAAGGAAAGGGAAAGGCAGCTGAGGGAGATGACGTGGTGGGAGGTGGGCTTGCTGGTGTGGGCTGTACACCTGCAGATATCAGCATGTCATTGTACCCACAGGTTAACAGGACCATCCATTATTGTATTAACATATTACATTTTAACATGTCACAAATAACACACCAAGGTGTTTACAAGTATAAAATAAGGTAATGTGCAATATGCTTTCTTTATTCATCTTGTGTGTATGTATGTATGTTTATTTACATTTTTTTTTCTTTCGACTTTAATGGTCACCTTATTTAATTTAATTTTTTTATATTCTATTAACTGACGTTGTTGAACTGTTGCATGAACTTGCATGTCATTGATTACTCCATTAATTAAAGAAAATAAGTCTCTGTCTTTCTTTGCAACTTTAGGCAAACTATTTGCCTACTGTCTTGTTTATATTTATATGGCCATTGACACAAGTTTGCACAATACACATTATTCATCAAGCTCCGAATACATTGCTGGTTTAACCTTCTGAGATTGCCTCAATCGTTGAAGAAAATTCCAATTCCTCCATTGATGACCCAAATTAAATGGCGTTCATCCTTCACTTCTTTCTTAACAAACCCTGGCATAACTCCAGTGGAGCGGACTCATTTGTTTAATAATCTCAATCACGGAGCTGAGCCGGACTAAATATAGAATACAGAAAACAGACTGCCGTGTGGGATGCATTAGCGTACACAGTGGACAGTCTGCCGCTGTCAACGGATCAAGTGCAAAAAATATGGCTGTGTGTGCGTGAGCCCACATGAATGTGTAAAGGTTCATCAGACAGGCAGTGTGTGTGTGCGTGTGTGTACGTGTTTGTTTTGGATGCTTGGCTTTGCATTACAACACGGAGAACACTTAAGGATCTGTTTACAAAAAAAATCATCCTGTTACACAACCAAATCCAAAAGGCATCTGAGTTCGTTGAGTGGTCAGCAACATGCGAGCAATTCCGATTTTGTAAGATTGAGCAAAAATTCAGACGTATCATATTTATTAAACCTTCCAGCAACAGTTGTTTTTTTTATTTTGTGTTTTTTAGAGTTAAGTATTCGTGTCTCCACCAAGTTCAGCAATTCCTGCTTTTGAGAGGATGTCCTGGCAACAGGCAGAAACATGCCTGGGTGAAGTCTTCAACCTTGGTAAGGACACAAGCTAATTACTTGATCCAAAGACTAAATCCATAAACACACAGACGTTGTAATTAAATCATCTGCACAGCTCTGCATCAACACCAATCATCTAAAATGACCTTGGAACTCTTGTTAAATGTGCGCTTTCATAAAGAATGTAGGTGCTTCACTCGGTGCCATATCTAATCAGACCAGTGAAAAAAAAGAAACTCAAGGCTCAGCTGTAGTTGAACAGTTGTTGAGATGTTTAAAAAAACACCAGAAATCCACAAACTGAAGACAAACGGTTTCATGATAATCATAATGTTAGTGACCATGCATATTCATTCTTAAAAGCAAGTGTCCCCGTATTTTGCCAGCTATAAAACATATTCTCAGAAATGACTTTAATTGAAAATGAGAAGACATGAAAAAGGTACTAAAACAATTTTCCGACCGTTTAAATAAAAGCTCGGTGGCTATCTGTGGTCCAAGCCTCCAGTTTGACTCCCGTCCAGCTTATTGGGGATGCTTGGTGCCATTTGGCAACGGCTGGAATATTTAAATGCCCTGATGAATACATAGCCCCTGGGCCTGACTGCACAAACCGACTACGCTCTGACATGCTCTGCATATACTAATGGGACTTCTGACACTCATGTGCATTCATCCTATAAAAACACAGCCGTGTGCCAAAGGGGATCCGTGACTGTTGCCAAACGGCTCAAGATGTGGAGGTCAAAAGGCCAAAGGTCTGACCGGTTCAGCGTGTTTAGCGCATCTTATCAGAAGCACATCTTATTCTGTCAATCTGTCCTTGAGCAAAACGTGGAACCCCCTTCCGGCTCATTTGTTGCAAATTGCAGTATACTTTCCATGAGATCAACAGCTGCAACGCATTTTCCACACCTCGTCTTGGCTGGACATCCATGTTCACCAGGCTGGGTGGCTGTGTGTACTTAAGCACGGCTCTGAAAGCCAGTGAGTGGAGATGAAGCTGTGGTATGACGTGTCCTGAATCTGTAGCGTGCACGCGTGCAGAGGAGCCTCAAACCGCCGGCAGCTGCAGCGCTGAAAGGGCTGGAGCTGTCCGCGGTGCTGAAAACATCAACCCGCCTAAAATGGGACCCAAATCTCAACGCGAGTGGGCTCTTCCGTGGAGCCGAAGCCAAGTATGTTCCCATGCAGCAACACATGCTGAACATTGGTCCCAGATGTCCGAGATCCCCCCCCCCCCCTCGGAGATGTCCGTGTTGTTACGTTTGGGAGCACACGCGTTGAATTGATTTAGGTGATTTGGTAAAATGTCAGCAGGGGGTGTAACCCAAAGATGCTGACCTTTGACGCTGTTCAACACCATTAAAGAACAACAGTTTCTTTAAAAAAAAAATCGTTATTGTGAAAGGTTTTGTTGCTGATCGTATTGTTTGTGATCGGAGAAAAAAAATACTTCGTGATGATGTTTAAATAAGTTAAACATCACTCTTTTCTATGGAAATCAGATTTTTTCTGAGAAAAGAGTAAGAAAAACTTAAAAGGACTCCGTGTTTTTTCTGCTTAGACTCTCTGTGTTAACAGAAGCCTCAATTTTAACACCACCCCCATTTAGAAACGCTCCATTATTTAAGCTATTTCAAGAGATCGGAGGAATTTCTTCGGAAACATTGTGTACCTCTACGCTGTACTACAGAATACAACACACAAACAAGAGAGCTAACTTAAGGGTTTTGGAGATACCGCCTACTTGGACTACCATTACGCATAGTTCCCCCCTTCCGTGAAGCAGCAGCAGAGGAATTTCTGGGTGCAGATAGGACCACTCCTCTCTCTGCATACGGCTTTCTCTCTCCTTTCTCCTCAGTCGGCGCTGGGTGGTGGAGAAGGGGGAGGGTGGTCTTGCAGTCGACGTGAGGAACAGGAGTTTATTGAGTAGTAGCTGCAACGGGGGTAAAAAAAAAACAAAAAAACCCTATGTACATGAGCCCTGCAGATGGTGAGAGGAGAGAAAGGGAGGATCGCGCGCGGACAAATGACCACTATCCGGCAGAAGACCGCCGCTTGATTTGTTTAACTTGTTGATGCACCGTGATTGCACTGTTTTTTCCCCTACCGCCGGGCTGCAGTGACAGATGAATGTGTGGCGGAATTGCAGGTGTACTTCTCCGGGGATAGGTGATCTTGTGAACTGGCCATAATTGCAGTTTATCGAGCAAACCCTTTTTAAGGTGAGTGCTTCTCTGTTTATTGGGGGAGAATCTTGATTACGAGTGGGAGGCTGTTTTGAAATGTAATACATGTTCTGCCGCAAAGTGGAATTCAATAACTCAACTGTTACACTGAGGGGGAAAAAAGCTGGAGTGATACTCAGTACAGCTTTGCGCAGTACAAGTAAATGGGTTTGTGCGTTTTTCGGCACACATTTTCTTTTCAAATGAGGTGATTCGGACGTCTCTGACCATCAGCGTCTCTGTCTGTTGCTCTTCATGCAGATGCAATTCGTCTTTGAGCCGTAGCACTGTGACAACCGGAGCAGGGTCGTATTAAAACCACAGGTCAGCATGGCAGCAGGTGTTGCGGCATGGCTTCCCTTCGCCCGCGCGGCGGCCATAGGATGGATGCCGGTGGCCAGCACCCCGATGCCCATTCCTCCCCAAGACAAGAGGAAAACCCAGGATGGACTCATCATCATCAACGTGAGCGGCTCCAAGTTTCAGACTTGGCGAACCACACTGGAGAGATACCCGGACACTTTGCTGGGGAGCACAGAGAGGGACTTCTTCTTCCACGAGGAGACAAATGAGTACTTTTTCGATCGCGACCCAGACATCTTCAGGCACATTCTGAATTTTTACCGCACGGGGAAGCTGCACTATCCGCGCCAAGAATGCATTTCTGCTTACGACGAGGAGCTGGCTTTCTTCGGCATCATTCCCGAGATCATCGGGGACTGTTGCTACGAGGAGTACAAGGACCGGAGGCGCGAAAATGCGGAGAGGCTTCAAGATGACGAGGAGATGGACATGAGTAATGACGTCACGCCGGTAAACCTGACGTACCGGGAGTACCTGTGGCGGGCTTTTGAAAACCCTCACACCAGCACTTTAGCTCTGGTCTTCTACTATGTCACGGGATTCTTCATTGCCATATCAGTGATGGCCAACGTGGTGGAGACGGTTCCCTGTGGGAGTCTGCCCAACAGGTCGAAGGAGGTTTCCTGTGGGGACCGTTACGCGCTGGCCTTCTTTTGCTTGGACACGGCGTGCGTCATGATATTCACATTCGAGTATCTCCTCCGTCTGATCGCCGCGCCCAGCCGGTACAAGTTCATGAAAAGTGTGATGAGCGTCATCGATGTGGTCGCCATCATGCCTTACTACATCGGCCTGGTCATGACCGACAATGACCAGGTGAGCGGAGCGTTCGTCACCCTGAGGGTCTTCCGGGTGTTTCGGATTTTCAAGTTCTCCCGGCACTCCGCCGGGCTGCGCATCCTGGGCTACACGCTGAAGAGCTGTGCCTCCGAGCTGGGCTTCCTGCTCTTCTCACTCACCATGGCCATCATCATCTTCGCCACGGTCATGTTTTATGCAGAGAAAGGCTCTCCGTCCAGCAAGTTCACCAGCATCCCTGCAGCGTTTTGGTACACCATCGTCACCATGACAACACTGGGGTAGGTGAACGAACACATCCCTAAAAGCTTTGAAAACCCCTTTGTTAAATGACTAGATCTATTACTGATACACTAAAATGAAGAATAAGTGTGATGAGAGTAATGATGCGTTGAAAATATGGACAAAGAGCTCATCCAGCTACAGGTGTGCATTCATTGGGTACTTTACTGGCCCGGAGCTCCTCTAAGCCAATCAGATTGCAGCAGTAGAGGCCTCTGCGCATCAATGAGCCCGCTCTTCACCAGCACCCCTTATTATGTTGAAGGTCAGGTCTCGTTCCTGACCGTTTTCAAGGGTCTTTAGTGGATCGTTTGTAAAGGTTAGAGGACTGTACACTGCAAGGTCTTTGGGGGAGGAAGAAAAAAAAATCCCATGCTCTCTCAGTAACAAAGAACAGCTCAGACTATCTGACCACATATGCCGCATCTGCAGATCAAACTGAGGCAAGTGCAGAGATTTAATTAAAAGCGAACTTGTGGGCTATAAACAACACATGCTTTCACCCAAATCCCTCCTCCTCGCCCCGCCTCATCTCTGACTCTTTCTCATTCTCGTTCAGCACATCTTCCTTTCAACGAGGTACAGTAAATATTTGAATGCCAATTTCATGCACACGAATAACGTCAGCCGCTCCGTGTGCTGATATGGCATAAAATAATTAAACAGTGTTAAGAAGATTACATCACATTAATTCGTATTGATGAGCGCACTCAAGCGCTCAGCTGCTCGTTGTTGGTTATTATTATTAATGCTTAGCTATTATTACAATTTTTCACTCCAGCGCAGCCCTCTGGAAAGACCTGCTTTCCAAGGTGCTGTGAACTTTTGTCGATTAAATTTGGCTTTTATCTTTTTCATATTAACAAACAGACGACACGTATTAAACAAGCCATAATCACAATTAGGTGATTTTTTCTCATTTCTGCGTAAAAGTCAGTGCGCCTTCGCGCTTCTGCTGCAAACACCAGACTGAGCACTCCCGCTTTATGCTTTGTCCTCAGCGTTGCCCCTGAGTGACGGTGACACAGGAATCGGGTCTTGTTGAAATGTTTTAGCACCCCCAAATCAAACATGCAAAACAAATTACCGCCGGCGTTGTGCGGTTGTGCTTTCACGAGCCTGTGCGCAGGTGTGTGTGAGTGTGTGTGTGTGTGTGTGAGTGTGGCAGGATCTGAGCAGGATGCCTGCTTGAGACGTGTGAAAGAAAAATAGGCATGCAAAGCATTGCTTCAGTTTTTAGTTTTTTACTGATCCTCCCAACGCAAATGACAGATCCACCATCCCCTTCCCCCCGCCCCCCTTCATCATTCACACTCCTCGCAGCTGCACTGATGCAGATCAGCTCCCTCAGATCTGCAGGCATCATTTGCAGTTTTTAAAATATCATTCTAATCATCGCTACCATTAAAAATGTTCCCTCTCTCATCATATTCTTTTCTATCTCCTCTCATACAGCTGGTGATGCTGAGTTAGTGGATGTTCTGTCCTCTTAATGGCATATGCAAATCTTCTTCCTGTGCTCATTCAGTGCCAGTCGAGCTACAACTCACACTGAGCGCATAATTGCTAATATGCTGGACCCGGTGGCTGAGGCTGCCACGGTAGTATTGCAGTGGACATACTTTCTGTCTAGATTTCAAAACGAAAGAGGCGTTCCGCGGGAGGCGTTTGCCATTTTCTCTTTGCGGTAGAAACAAAGATGTTGCTCGATTCGGCTGGTGATGGATTTAAAAAAGATGCTTCGTGCGTGAGGGGACAAAAGTAAAACGTCCTTGGTAATGGGGATGTCTTTGTCACTCCGTTGTGAGCCGTGGCACTCCGGCTGACAGATTAGCAACGTGAGCTGAGGCTTTCTGCTGTAGAATGCTGCACAGAGGACCACCGGTGGAGAGAGGCTGAAAACCCATCACTGAGAGACAAAGCCGGGGCCGTTCTCCTGATCAATCATCATCCTCAGGTGTGTTTTTATCAAAACACATCTGATTCAACCTGAAAAGATGAATCATGGTTGTCATAGCTTCTATTGACAGTGGGTTGAGGAGAATTTGTATTTCACTGTTCCCAAATAACTCTCAAATTCTAGAGGACACAAAACATTCTGGCGGCTTGTGGCTTGCCGAAAAGAATGATCCACATCTTAGTTATTTGGACCGGTGTGAATGAATTGGTCTCTTCATCTCGTGGCAGACAAGTTCTGTAAAGGCGAGCAGGGGCCACCATTGGCTGAAATCTGCACTTGAGGGCAAAACATTTTATCTCATTCCAATAGTCAACGGTGCTCTATGCTTGCTATGGTATCATGATGCCTTTCCACTACATATATTTTCAATTTCCCTGACTCACACCCTGTGGAAGTAAAGACAGTGGCAGGCATTCTCTCCCCTGCTGATGGCCCATTGATTGTGCTTAAGCAGACGTGCAGACATTGGGAGAGCAGGGGCTCCTGTTCAGAGGCTCTTGGCAGGCAGCCTGAACAAAAGGGAAGAGGGTGCCTGGAGACCAGCGGAGAATCAATAGCTCTGTGCAGCTGCGTGTCATGCCTCTGTGTATCTTCTGCTCTATACCACCAAACACAGGACAAGACCCACTTATCCCTCCTTATTTATCGAGCCTAATCTCTGTGGCTGCTTTTGGATACCCAACAAAAAGCAATCCGCCTCTGCTAGAATGGATCGGCGCAGATTCTATAGAACCGGCTCACTGGGTGTAAAAAAACTTTCCTTTTTTCTCTCTCTGCTTTTATTGTGATTCGCAGAATCTTTGAAAAGCTGCGCTACGGTAAGGCCAATCGAATTGAAGTGCCGCTGACCGGTTAACGCTGCAACAGATCCTAATTCAAAGTTAGTGCTGCATTTGGTTTGGCTGGAATCAGATGTTGCTCTGTTTTCCACCGCGCTTTTTCTCTGGATGATCCACGCGGTCAGGGTGAATTAGCTGCAGAGGGAGTTTTTGGTGCTTCAGATCTTTTAAGTGATTTAAGGTGTAATGGAGTGCACTGCTGAGAGCAGCTGTGAAAACGATGGAAGTCAAGCGCAACCCACAAGGGAAGGGGAGTGGGGAGGACAGGGGTTTAGTCTGGAACAGAGACACTCGTTCCTCTGGACACAGGCGGGCATTACTCTTGATAGACTTGGAGTAGCTCGGCTTCTGACAAGAACATACTCATTTCTAGGGCTGACACTCTCCACTTCTGTCCCTCCTTTTCCCTTTTTTATTTTTACATTTATCACGGAGCCTTACCACATCTTTGTGTTTCTCCATTTCAAAGTAATGTACGGTTTAAACTCAGCACGGCTCTTCCCTGCCTCACTGTAGATTATGTCCCCTCAAAAGGGAGACAGAGTGTGTTTCCCTTCCTTTGCTTCTTCCATGGAATCTGTTTAGTAGACACCATTAGCCAAGATCACTTACAAGTAAGGAGTATAGAGGAGTATAAACTGGATTTTCTTATAAATGTGCTTATAACAGAATTTTAGATAAGAAGAGTTTGAATATCTTTTGGGAGGAATCATAAAAACCCAGTACTAAAGAACCAAAAAGCCTTCAAATCAGAATGACGTCTATGGTGGTTTGTTCCTACCCTTAATACAACCCACAAAAACATCTTTAAAGAATCACTTCAAGAGGCACTCTGAAAAATGCCATTCTTGGGCTTTTTCACTTTGGAACAGAGAGCATTTTAAAGTAATTTCGTTAACATGCCAAAAAGTAGAAGGAAGGGTAGTTGGAGGTGGCATGGGTGAAGCATCCGTAGTTTTGGTGTGAAGTCAAATCCTGACTAAAAGATTAGAACTGCATTTGTAAATTTAAGTTATGCTCAGTCAGTAAAGTAACAGCTCTGTCCCTTATTTACATCCTGGTTACATGGTCATATGTCATTTGTGTCATTTCACGAAACAAAACGTGTTCAACTTTTGGGTAACTTAATATAATATCTTGTACAATTGTCTTTAGGTTAGAGGTACAGATCGTTTTTCAGTATGGAAAAAAAGAAACGTGCAGTTGAGAAGAAAATCAAGAATCACTAATGAGCTCTGTGTACATGTCATTTGACTGTAGTGGAAAGGTAGAGAGCTCACTGAGAGAGAGTCAAATCGATGTCAGACGAAGATGAAATGAATGGAAGGATTTGCAGGCTGTTAAACCAAAATCTTCTAAAACTAAAGAGCTAAACTAAAGATCAGTCTAATATCAGATATGATATCTCGCAATTTTCTGTTAAATTTCTCAGAATCTGCAACATGTTTGTCTTCCGCTGCAGACTGCATTAAAGTTTATAGTATCCCCACTGTTCAAACGCCACTGCGCAATTTACATACATTTTTTACAGCGTTGAGATAATGTAGGGTGCAGCAATCATTCTAATTGCTGATCTGCCGTGACATTTACTACGCCAATTGTCCAAAGGTGCAACAAACATGCCTATGCATTGTAGTCCCTCATCAGAGGCGGAATTTATCACCGAGTCGTTGGTGCCGCAGCTCCACCCACCAAATACAACTGGAAAGGCTTGACAAGTGAGACCCATAAACCTCTCAGGGTAGGATTTATAAGACTGAGGAAGCAAGGTTAATACACAGGGGGGGTCACTGTAGGGTCCATAAATAACCCGAAGTGTAACCATTATCATGCTTGCCAGATTTGACACCTCAGCCTCATGGCAGTGAAAGCCTACAATGCAAAGCATCGCGTTCATCAGTGTGGTGCAGCGGAGAGCCTTTAAAAGGTCCAAACCCCTCCCAACACGTCAAATGTAATTGAAATATACAGGAACAATCTGGAGGGCCTTATACTGTTTCTGTACCCGAGAGATAACAAGTGCATTCGGGATTTAGTACTCGTGTGGCTGGATAAGTTACTATGGCTCTGGCATGCAATGCAGAGAATTTCCACCCTCTTTTTTTTCCCCCCCCCGTTTCCTTGCAGAGCACGACATTCAGCGAGAGCGTTTGGTGTGTTTGATTATGTTGCAGCAATGAGTGTAATTTCCGCGTTCAGTGGAATACATTACACCACTTGGCATTGTGTACATCACGCACATTATGAAAATCAGCAATCCATTATGAGCGCTGTGATGTGCTACCGCATAAAACACAAGTAGTTAATGTGAGATGTGTAGGCTGCCATTAGCCTGTAGGCTCATAGCACAGCACTCCCTCCCCCCCCCTCAGCCCCAGGTGCTTTAGTTGGGAGGAGAGGTGATGCTAATGTGAGGCTGGCATAATGGTCGTGAAGTGACAGGTGACTTAATGAGAGGAACCAGGCAACGAAATGTGTTCTGTTGGAGCTCCTTTCTGTCCATGCAAATGACTGCGAAATGGAGAAGTGAGAGCAAGGGGCGGAAACAGGCAGCCATCCTCAGAGGAGATTAAGATCATTGCAAAACAAGGAATCTGGAAAAAAAGGAGAGAAAAAGAAACAGATCTTCCGTTTTTTTTTTTCTGCTTAATTGAAAATACCAAGTGTGTGCATCTCTTTTATCCTCTGTGCTCGCCGAAATGCTCTCACACAAGCAATGCGAGATTTTTTAGGGGGGTGTTATGGCGGCGTGGGTCCAGTGATTGATTCATATTTTATGGGCAGTCATATTTTACAGATTTATTACATAATTTTTCTTAGGCAGAAACTTCAAAGATGTTAATCTGCAACTTAAATTTGATTTTAATGATGTTATATATCTTTTTTTTTTTTTTTTCACCGCGAGATAATGTCAGCCAGAATGTGTGTTTGTGGTCAGTCAAGCCTGAACTGAAAAACAGATTATGGCCTGCTGGTAGGTTGATGTGAGGTTACTGTGTATGTGAACTGACTCTAAAAGTGGGCATGCATCACTGCGGATGGTCAGATTGATAAATAATCCATATGGCAAGGACAAAATGGCTGTCCTCCCATTTGATTCGATTTCTTTGACAACTCGTCTTCGAGGCAGCACAAATAAAACACATTCCACGCGTTGGTGTTTCATTAATTCATTCTGAATGTGCTGCATTATGCAGGGAAATAGACGCGCAGCTTCTGCGCTTGGGCCCCGAGTAACGTAGTGCGAGGATGTAAAATATGGCATCGGTGTTTTCCCACCGCTCAGCATTTTTTATCTTTTTCTTTGTATTGCGAGCAACGCTGAAGATTAATGGAATTTTCCAGAACAAGATTAAAGTTACTCCAAATGAGTGCAGCATCGCTGCATTAGGAAATAAGGAGATACGTGAGAAAACACACCACCTCGATTTCATTGTTGTTGGAAAGCATTTGCTTTGCCTGGCTCCACTTCCATCCAATCTTAACAGCCTTGAAACCCTGACCCAGCCTGAGTGAACGGAGGAGAAGGGGAAATATTGCCTATTATGTAACCGTGTCCCATCTTCAAAGTTGATATGTTGTAAGAGATACCGGATGCAAAGTGTATGCCATGAGATCAGTTGATCAAACAGAGAGCAAGTGATAAATCCAAGCCCAAGAGCTGTCTGCTCCTCTTGTGCTGCATGGCTTATTTACATACTCAGCATTTACATACAGATGAAAATGGCTTGTCTGGTCATGGAGATTGGTATGCCGACTTATAAATGCCTCATCATCACTTTGTTTATACCTGCCGGAGTATTTCTAAATGGATTCTCTTTAGGGTTGGTCTGCTAGTTTGTACTATGCTCCACGTTCAATCAATTGAGTTATCAAGTCAAGATCAATGAAGATGTCTTCCGCAGAGATATATTAAAATGGCCAAGGATGCACTCAGGGTGCTCAGTCCCACAAATTTAGGTTTTAATCTGGCTGTGGTATAAGACCAGTGCCAAGGTTGGATATGACTAAGACCTTTCATTATGAATGGGATAATTTTAAAGAGTTAGTGTAGCACAGTGTGCAGCATGAGCGATGGTTTATGATGGCAATAGATTTCTGGGTATATTTTCATTATCACTTAGTCCTCTCATCATTTTTCACTACTCTCTACATGCATGCTAAAGTGCAACAATTTTAATGGCAGATAAGAAAAATTAATAATGCGTGACATCGGTAGTCACCACGCACACATACACCACCATGGCAAAAGAAGCAAAGTATCTGCCCTAAAGTTTGCTTTGTGCTCTTTTTTCTTTACGGTTTTGTGTTTAGTCTTGTTTGATCTTTTAAAAATAAACCCATAGATTACCTATTAGTGGATATTTAACATTTTGCTGTCTGGCCAAAACCCTCAGTAGAAGTGTTTGGATGGGGATTAACCCATTTGGAAAAGGTCAGGCAAGTTCTTTTCAGTTCCCCAATTAAAATAGAACCTAAAGCAAAACATTGGAATAAATTAAACGACTGAATATGATAAATGTACATTACAAAAGTTGAACAATAAAAAGGATGTTTTTTTCCCCCAAAGTTTTTAAAAATAGTGAGGAGGAGCTCACAACTTTGCAAAAACAAGTGTGATATAAACATTTCAACAATTTAAGAACAATACTGCCATAATTACAAGACAGACAAAGAATTTTGGGTCTGTCATTATCCACTATTCATAATGACATAGTAGGATTAAGAAATTCAAAGAATCTGAAGAGACTCAAGACAGGCTGACAC